CCTTAAAACAAGCTCTGGGCTGCCATTCTTGCTTTGCTCCTGGAAGCGTCGGGGTGCAACTGAGCTCCCTGCCAAGTTTGAGAACTCCTGCACGATCTGGAGTTCAATCAGGAAAAAAAAGTGGTATGCTACGTCCTACTCCCCCCTAGACCCAGAAAGTTTGTTTTAGTGGGGGGGGGGGGGTGTCCCCCAAAGTCATTTATCATTTTAGAGGGTCAGGATAGCACAAGGGTGGCAAAGCTTGGTCACCACCAGTAAGGACACTTCGTTTTCTTTCTATTCACCAGCCTTTTCCTAGCTGCTGACAAGCGGGCTGCAAACCCCGTTTCTGCAGGCCTTGCTCCCCCGACCTGGGTGGAGGCGGAAACAAAGGTTTGTCGTTTTCTGGATGATTTTTTTTTAATTTTTCAGCGCAGGTTCATTCAAGAAAATCACGTCCCACCGAAGACGTTCGGAGCAGCGCAGCGCCCTCCGCCTTGCCTCGAGCGCCCCCTCGTGGGCAGCGGCTGGACCTGCAGGCCTTGCTGGAAACTCGCTCCGGAAAACGGCGACGTTTCTTCCTAAAATGTGTGTTTTGTGTGCGGAGGGAGGCTCGTGCCCGGGCACTAGCAGATGCGGACAGCCAGCTGTCTCCATTTACTTATCGATCAGTCGGGCGATATAGCGGCTCCTCTCAGTTTTTGATGGCTCCCTTTGCCTAAAAGTCTGGGCTCCCTAGCAGCTCCTGTGGGGTTGAAGCTGGTTCCACCCGGAGCCAGGCCAGCTGGTGGATTCAAAGATGGTTTGCTTAACCATAGTTCAGTGAGTAAGCAGCAGTGGCTGGGTATGAACCCAACACACATTATGGTTGGTGCAATATGAGAATTAGGGCTGGTGAATCCCTCAATCCCTACTTTTTTCTTTTCTTTTCTTTCTGTAGGTAGGGAATGCATTCTCTAGTCTGAATGCAGGTTTTGAGGTGGTGGGTGTTGTTATGTTGGTGGTCTTCATCGCTGGGCAGTTTGGGGCACATCAAGGTTCACCCGCCTGCTTTCACTGCTTCACGAGCTGCATCGGCCTCTGGGAGGCAGTTCAAGGTGAGGCTCTCCCCAGTGAAGCCCTCCGTGGCACATTGGCAGGACTGCCTGCCTCCCCTTGTTCTGCCTGCCCCACCAGATCCGACCGCTGGGGCCCATGTGATAGTGCCACCTGATGGAACCCAGGAAGTGGGCTTTCTCTGGGGGGGCACCTGCCCTGTGGAGCCCCATCCCGCCCAGGAGCCAGAAGGCCTCGACCCCGCTGGCCTTCCGTGCGGCCCTAAAGACCTGCCTGCTCCCCAAGCCTCGGGCCAGGGTGTTTGGCGAGCCTGATTCGTATGACTGGCACGTTGGGGAGGGGACGGGTGGCAGAGTTGAACCAGACCTCAACGCCTTTGCATTCATCATTATTATTTTATTAATGTTGGCGTGTTTCCTGGTTAGCCATCCAGAGTCAAATGCAAGAGGGACGGCCACATAATAAGCACTTTCAAGGCATGGATTAAATGATTCTGTGCCCTGAGGCTCCTCTAAGAAGGGTAACATGCATAACATTGGCTGAGCATCGATACATGAACAGTGCACGTCAAAAATTAAAGCCTGCCGCTCGGGCTCCGATCGAAGGACCCCACCCTCACCCCACCTTTAGGAACAGCTATTCCGCGCCAGGTCAAAGCACACAGCGCATACATCTGTTTACTGCACCCACCCTGCTGGAAAAACGCCCCTTCCTCCCCGCCTCTCTTGGCACACACAGACCCACAAGATTGCACCCGGGAGCTTGTGTCAGCGACTGGGCGCTGCTCTGAGGCAGAATTAAGAAAGAAGGAAGATCGTAGTCACGCTATAAACCTAGCAAGATGATCCCCTGTTGCTGCCAGAGGCAGACCCTCCCCGAAGAACTGCACAAGCACAAAAGGCGTTTCCTTTAAAGTAAAAATCTCGGGTTTCTTTATTTGTCCTTTCGAAGGACCCCATCAGAGGCAGGATCTTCCACAACGCATCGCAGCGGCTTCGCTCTCCTTGGAATGTTAGCTGCTCCAGCCTTGTGGCTTCCACGGGATCAGCTGCTTGGGCAGAAGCGAGGCAGGAAGGCGGCTGCGAAAAAGCGACCCACGCGATTGGCCTTGCGCACAGAGAAAGCAGAAGCGGCGTTAGCCGGGCGGCCGTGTCAGTGCATCTAGTTCTGCAACGAGAGAGGAAAGAGAGGCGGGGGGGCGGGGGGGGGAAGCCCATCTCCAGCCAGGAAGGGTTGGTTGGGCTTTTTCCTTTAATTCTCATCGCAGGGTTCAATCTTCTCCCCCGCAGAGATTCAGGAGCGCCCTCTGATAGTCTCCCTTTGTGTCTTGCTGTAAAGGAGCCCAAAACAGAAAGGACCAGATTAAACCTCTCGACAATGCAAAGTACGATCGCGCACGAGATTTGGTTCAATCCCCCCTGCCCCCGCGGATCCCTGGATCACAGCCCAGGACACGTCTTGGGGCTTCCAAACCCCATTTGGGGGGCGGGGGGAGGAAATGCCACCATACTTGACGCGATGCAAGAGATGCCATGAACCAAATCAACTCCAGCAGCTCGTCCACCCACCTGGATAAAGTAATAGAGGGATTTTCCGTATTTCCTCTTGAATTCACTCTTAATTTTCAACATGTCAACCTCAGCTCGAGAAACCATGATTCGGATTAAGACCTTGTCACGGGTTCCTTTGCCCTGAAAATTAAAATACCTCACACTGAAACTTAATGCCTAGAAATGTCTGGGCAATCTTTAAAAGCATTTTTTTTTCCAACCAGCAAAGGAAAATCTTGAATTACTTGACATAAAGATGGGGAAAGCGCTTTGGGATCATTTGCATAAGGCAGAAGAATTAATGCAACTGCCTGAACGTCTTTCCCCTTTCTGCATCTTGATGAAAAAGGCCGGCGTGGTTTCTGGAAATTATTTTATGATAGAGCAATTCAATATCGGGGGAATAATGTTCAATTCTAACATCAGCATGGCTTAAAAGCTATGACTTCTGTCCTCACCCACTTTTAAGTGGTAAATCAATCAATTAAATTCAACAACCTCAGCAGCTACCCAAAACGTTGACATTTACACTGTACGACTGCAATTGCATCTCCAGCTGCTTTCAACCACAATGTCCCTCTGCAGGGGTGTGGGCATCTATGGTCAAAAAGACACGCACTCCACACACACATCAAAATCAGGCTAGGCTTCAATTGCACCCTCTTGACTTTTTTGACCATGCCCGGTCCCCCTGCTCATGACCCAGACTGGGTCTCCAGCGCCTTACCTTCATGGAATCATACAGTCGATCAGCAAAGTACAGCTGCTTGTTCTGAATACACTGGACTGTGGAAGGAACAAGATCAAAGATGGAGGTGAAATGTGTGCAGGGGAATTAGGGAAATCGCAAGAACCTTTTGGAAACGTGCAGCCATCAGAGATAAGGTTACCCAGATTGAAGACATGGCTGAACCTCAAAACCCACATTCCAAAATTGAATCACTCAAAATTAGGGGTGCCTTAATTCTGTCTTGGCTACTGATCCCTTGGGTTCTCCTCTGTTTAAAAAAGTCCTACTGGAATTTTGTGATGCCAGTAACAAATGAGGCATGGGCCTAATCAATGCAATATATTTTAAAAAGTAAATAATCTTTCACCATCTATATTCCATTGGAAACTCATAACATACATTGATTTTGAACTTTTTTTTTTTTTTTTTTGCTCAGATGCCACCATCTAGTGTTAATTAGAAATGCAACAACTTAGAGAACTTGCGTAATGCGTTCTCCTCTGTTTAAAAAAGTCCTACTGGAATTTTGTGATGCCAGTACCAAATGAGGCATGGGCCTAATCAATGCAATATATTTTAAAAAGTAAATAATCTTTCACCATCTATATTCCATTGGAAACTCATAACATACATTGATTTTGAACTTTTTTTTTTTTTTTTTTGCTCAGATGCAACCATCTAGTGTTAATTAGAAATGCAACAACTTAGAGAACTTGCGTAATGCAAGAAATCCATCAAAGAACACCCCCAAATTTAACTGGAGATTATTTTCCTTCCTCTCTGACTTCATGTAGCCTAAAAAGGGTCACCAGTCTATATCTTGAAGTCAACCAAACTTGAAAGCCTGATCATCACTGTACTAATTTCTCAAAGCAAGGAAGATCCATCAAGCGCCCTGGTGTTCTGGCATCACCATTCCTGCTTTGAAAAACATCTGGGAGTTGTCTTCACAATGGTCACCTCCAGCAAACGAGTTCTCTGCTTGGAGACAGCCAGCCTGAGCTGTCCATGACCCCATTAAGAGGGCCAGTTTTTCCACCTTTCTCTGTTTCCTTACCGAGATTAATGAAGGCGTTTTCAAGATCTCCTTTCACCTCCTTCTTGATGCTCTCCAACATATCGTAAGGGCTGTAGCTCTTGTACCTTTCAAACACTACCAAGAGACAAGGGGAGAAAAGTCAAAACAATCATTTGGGTGAAGACAAAGTTCAGGAAGAACATCAGGATCTAATGGTGGGCTAGATCTATCATAACACTGCCAGGCTCAGGAAGAAGACAGTAAGTTGGACTAAGACTTCTGGTCTTCCTGCCAAGTCTCCTTCATGTTGGGGGATAATGGTAGGAAACAGCTCAACGAGTCACAGAGAATTATTCTTTCATCTTGGCTCGGTAGTGCTGCTTAGCAAACAAGTTGTTTGCTCTTAAGGACCTTCTCTGAGGTCCACTCTCAATGCGCCAGAAAGCTCTGGAAAGTGAAGCAACTCCCCAGAGCATAGGCTTCTTTCACAGTGTGACGTGCTGGCGGGCAGAGGAGTCTCCCATCATCTGTCTCCTGGTCCTTTTTAGCTGAAGATCCCAGGACCTTCTTTCCGAAGGCCGATGCTCTAGGCTGAGTTCCAGATCCCATCCCTGACCTGCTGCTCAGGGGCAGAACTGCATGTTTTGCACATGGAAAACATCGGAGAAGCAACAGCAGGATCAGCAAGCTAGGAGTGCAAGATATCCCCTGGCAATCAGAGCCAGAGCCAGTCCCTCCTATGCCCAGGGCAACCCTCCCTCTCCTACATGCCTTCCAGATGGACGGACTTCAATTCCCAGAGTTCCCCAGTCACGGGGCGTTGCTCATAAACCTGGGAGTTGATGCCCATGCATCTGGAGGGTGCCCGAGTTAGGGAAACGCTCTGCACCCATGTCCACACCGCCTGCCTTTCTCCAAAACGGCTTGCTTCGTGCCACTTTGCTTCAGTATTGGCCTGTAAACCTATCTGTGGGGCTGCTATCAGCATGGGGAACTGATATGGCTGGTCCAACCCCCTGACTCTTTCTCTCCCCCCCCACCCATTTTCTGCTCAGGCAAGAGAGGGAGAAAGCCCCGTGTGCTTAGTCCTGGGGATCAACTTGCTTTGCCCACACACCCAGCTATCCTTGGGGGGTTCCTTGTACCTTTCTGGAGATGGGGGATGCTCCGCTCGGTCATAATGTTGATCCACTTAGGAACATCCGTGCCCTTCCGCTTGACGCCGGCATCGTAAAGGTCCTGGGGAGGGCATGGAAACGTCTCGGGTCAGCTTCTGTCCGCAGCTGGAATGCTGCTTCCCAAGCTGGCACCCTCTGGGTACAGTTCCTAAAAGCTCAGCCCGCAACTTTGCTGGCAGCAGGTTGGGGAAAGTCTCCCAGCTCTTGCCCAGACAGCTGCCCGCCTGCCCCCCCCCCACCCCA